GGAGAGGAGAGGAGAGGAGAGGAGAGGAGAGGAGAGGAGAGGAGAGGAGAGGAGAGGAGAGAGAAAACATGGTGTGCTTGCACCTAAGTCTAGGTTAGTCCCAACAGAAAGCCTGGGAAGCTCTTTCTGACAGTCTGCTTTCTTTTCCTTCTGTCTGCTAGAGTGATGTCTTAAGAACCTTCAGAGGCTGCTCCAAGCTGGGGAGGCCTGAGGACCAGAGAGGAAGAGTCATCTGGAGCAGGAAGCTTGGACAGGGATGAGCAATCAGGAAGGAACCAGAGGAAGGGGCCTCCTGGATTGAAAAGTTGACTAGAAAGACAAGGCGGCCTTTTGACTGACAAAACAGACAAGATTTGCAACCCAACCCAACCACTTACAAACCGAATTTGACAAAATATTAAACACATATTCGTGCTTAGAAGCCACTGCAGGAAACCTACGACGCGTCGACTCATCTAGATCCCAAAGCATTTCTGACCAAGGTGTTCTTGCTACTGTTATCGTGGTGACTGTGTTTCCCATTTTACAAAAAACGAAACTGAGGTGTAGAGAAGCCTGATACCTGTAGATCAGCCCAATAGCTTGGCTCAGGCTTCCATCGCTCAACTGCTAGCCTCTGCTTTTCCTCAGCCGCAGAGGAGTGACCCGCTTTGACCTTCAATGTTATGTAAAATTAGGACAGCAGTACTGTATCTGTTATGGGTGTCAGGCCTGGGAACACCTATCAGAGAGCTGAGTCAGGTTCAGGGAGGGTATCGCAGGCTACCGGTAGTCTTTGGGTAGGTGTTGTTTTGTTTTTATTTTTGAGAGATTCTTTTAAGGGGCCCTGTCTAGCTGTGAAGAAGGAAATGTCCCCATTTTTCTGTTTTCTTTTCTCCCCTCTCTTCTCTTTATGTGCCCATGAAGCTTCCGTGGCTCTACAACCATTGAGCTCCACTCTTTGTGTTCTAAGAAGATTTTATCAGGACACATTTTGGGCTGAAATGAAATTGGCCACTTCTCCTCCTGTTGCACTGAGCCCTGTAGGAAGCAAGGCCGTATCTTAGGCTTTATTATGATGCCTGGTCTATAAAACAGCACCTGCAACCATAAATAAATACTTTCCGAACAAGTAAATATTTACAAGCTGATGCATATTTATATTTTCAAAAGTAGCATCCCAAACCTTTCTTGTCTAGCAAATTCAACAGAGTTTACCACAAGCCTGGTATCTTCATCCTGGTTTTCTATGGTAAGAGGGATATCTATTTATCTGTACTCGCTCAAAACATTTTCAGAATTTTTTATCAGAAAGCTTCTCATATAAATCTCTTGTCTCCAAATCACTCTCTGTGTTTAATTTCCAACCTAAGAAAATAATACTGATTTTAAAAATCAATTATTTTTGAATATTGGAGGATCAGATCTTACAAATCCAAAAATAATAAGGTGAGATTTCTGGTGTCTTTCGTGAGATGTGTGTATGAATGAGTCCGGCATCTGAACCTCTGTATTCTGAAACAGAGCCAGGAAGGCAACAGAGGGAACCTTTCCCTGGTTGCCAAGGGAACTTGCAGGGGGCTTTTCCTGGGGGGGGGGCTTCCCAGCCAGTCACAGTCAAAGTCACCTTGACCTGTTCCTTAGTCCACTCTTCCTTCACTTCAGCAAGAGGTGGGAGCCTGTGATCTGTAAGTAAAAGGAAGGAAACCATTATGGGAACTAGAAGCCAGGATCCAGGACGTCACCCACCCCAGCAGCCACCACTGGTGTCCAAAGACACAGAAACAGAAGCTGGAAGCCATGAAAACTGGGAAAAAGAAACTGAAGCTCTGGACATTGTTGCAATAGTTTCGTACAGCTCCGGGCTCCCTGCCTCTTGCTCTTGTTTCTTACCAGAGGGAATTAGCAGAGTTCTCTTGAGATAACTTTATAGAAAAGGGATCAACAAGAAATTCTTTTCCTGTTATTCGAGAAATATATTTGTTGTTCCTGATGTCTGGAGGAAAACAAGCATCCAGTAGACTGCTGTGCCACAGATTCTTTAAGACTGAAGAAAGCTACCCTTGTATCAACAGTGGCATAGATGACATGGTGGTACATAATTGAGTTCCCCGCGCTTGGGAGGGAGGAGGAGTTCACTGTTATCTCCTGTTACATAGTGAATTTGAGGCCAGTCTGGGATACATGTGACCCTGCCTTGATGGAAGGAAGGAAGGAAGGAAGGAAGGAAGGAAGGAAGGAAGGAAGGAAGGAGGAAAGGAAGGAAGGAAGGAAGGAAGGAAGGAAGGAGGAAAGGAAGGAAGGAAGGAAGGAAGGAAGGAAGGAGAAAAGGAAGGAAGGAGGAAAGGAAGGAAGGAGGGAGGGAGGGAGGGAGGAAAGGAAGGAAGGAAGGAGGAAAGAAAGGAAGGAAGGAGGAAAGGAAGGTAGGAAGGAAGGAAGGAAGGAAGGAAGGAAGGAAGGAAGGAAGGAAGGAAGGAAAAAAGGAAGAAAAAAAGAAGAGCTTGCCCTATTTCTTCTAAGCACCAACACCACTGGGGACGGAGGAGGTATACTGCAGAAGAGATCCTGACGTTGAGAGAGCTCTGGAGACTTCTGAAAACTGGCAACTGGCTAGCTTAGTCACGGTGCCCAGGCACGCTTCTTCTCTGCAGCATTCACTTTCCCTTAGAGTGTCTTCCAGCCCTTGTGAGAACCAAGTTCCCAGTTGAGTCCTCACAGTACTAAGCTGGGAATAAGGAGCCTCAGGTTAATTCCATGGGAGGCGTTCATCCTTTCGACAATACCCTCTCTACCCAAAGAACTGATAATTCCATGATTCTTCCTGAACTTATAGTTCTCTAACATTTTGAAAACGACAGTACATGTTATTAATTCATAAATAAAATGACAGGCATAAAAGTATCTTGGTTTTTTTTTTAATCTCTGAAGGCATCAGGGTTTTAAGTGACCTCTGGTCTCTTGGTATCCCTCCAGAGACCCCAAGTTACAACCATTTACTTCAGCTCCACCTGCTTGTGGGGGAGGGGTTAACAGGAAGTAGACACAGGAACCTAACTCTGCAGTATGCCCACCACCACAGAGGGATATTGTGGTTAATGGGCTGAACAATAAATAACAGTTGTTGATACTTCCATTCCTCGGGCCTTATGGCAATGTCTTCCATCTAGGTCCTTCTTTGCTCTCAAATGATCCCTTGGGGAAGATTTTGATCATTATCCCCCAAGGTAAAATGGGGAAAACAGACTTAGAGGGTGTGAGACCATAAGGTAATATCGAAAAGCCCAGCATATCTGGATTTGTAGACTTAGTAGCAGACACCTTGCCAGGATTACCATGTCTGAGTCCATTCCCTTGGGCCAGGCACACATTTAAAGATTCCTATCTGAAATCTAAGAGAGCTTGAGCATCTACGAACTAGAGACGCCCAAGACCCCTACCTTATCACCAATCTAATCTCCCTTTGCATCTTGCATTCTATGGTTACAGCCTCCAGTGACTCCTGATAGGACTCCCCCAGAGTCTACAGGCTCCTAGACCTAAGGGTGACTGACAGCCAGTGTTAGCAAAACTTAGGAGGGATCACAAAGAAAAAGCAGGAGCTAGCAACAGGACCCAAGGGCGGCTTACAAGTCTGGCCATCCTCCCTGGCTTTGTACCCACGAGTTGACTGGCTCAGGGTCCCTCTATACTATGAAGTATCTGTGGGGGCCAACTGGGTAGTAGATATTGTCTAAGTGGTCCAAGAAAACTCTGTCCATGTGTTGATTGGGCTCGTGGTGGGTGGAAAAAACTTCTCTCAAGGAGGGCAGAAGCAAAGCCTGTCATTGTGGCGCCTGGGTCGTGCTGTGGCAGCCTTCTCAGCCAAACCACAATGATCCTGGACAGCTGTGTCCCCAGCCACACTTAACTGCCCTGAAGTCACATTTTCTGCCTCTCGCTGTGACTTACTCCTCTTACCACCTGGTAAGCCTGTGTGTCTTACACCTTTGAGGCCCAAAGTCTTTCTCCCAGTCACTCTAGCTCTCCAGGATGCTCCAGAGTTTTATTTTGTGCTTTAGTAAGCAGCTTTGAAATGTGGTAAGGCAAGGACCCCCGCAGGGACACTGCTATGCCTATGGAATTCAAGATTCTCCCTCTGTGCTCAGGGTTAAGGATTGCCTGGCCCCCTTCGGGTGTGGCCCAACTAATCAGAACGGTGCTGGGCTCTTTGTAGAGTGTGAAGGGTGCGGTGTCAGAGGATGCAGTCCTGTTTCTACGCAGACATTCCGTGCCTGCCACACCAGGGAGAGGTCTGAGGCGCCCGCCGCGGAGCGAGGTGCAGGATTGCCTTGCTCCAACCTCTGCCTGAAGACCCCTTCCACGCTGGCGCTTGCACACAGGCCAGGATGGAAGGCGACATCCTAACTTCTGCTGTGAGCAGGTGGGAGGGAAGAGACGCGAGAGGTATTCCATTGGTTGTCTGGAAAAATGAACTGCACCTTCCCCTCACTCGCACAGGATCAACTTTTCCCACCTCCTGGGGTGGGCATTAGTACTTTGGGGTTCTAAGCCCGAACGTGGCAGCCCAGGGGTCCCAGGGACTTGGCTCTGCACAGGCAGCGGGTGCTCTTAGACACCGGAAAAAAAAAAGTGCCTTACAGTGTCCCGTGTCCCGTGTCCCTCGAGTCCCTCGACTGGGCGAGCGCGCCTGTGTCGCGACAGCCCGGCTGCCCCGCGCGTGGCGCTGGGTCCGGGAGGCCCCTCCCCCTCCCCGCGGGCCCGCACGTGCCGCACCCCTGCGGGTTGAGCTCAGGTCCCGCAGTGGCGCGGCTGAGCTGGGCTAACCCGCGGGCAAAGCTCCGGCCGCGGCATCCCGCGCGGGGCAGCGGCGCGATGCTGCACTGGAATGAGGAAGCTTGGCGGCGAGGGGAGGGCCCGGGCGCGCTGCGCGCGGGGGTGGCGGCGGCGCGCCGAGCGGGCCCGGCGCGGGCGAGCGGGCTGCAGCCGCCGGCGGCGCCAGCAGGTACGGCCGGTGCCCGCCGCCACCCGGCGACCCTCGGCGGCCGGACCCGAGCCCCGCGCGGCTGCAAACTTTGTGCGCGCGGCCCGGCAGGTCGCAGAGTTGCGGTCTGTTGCGGGACCAGGCGGCGGGCGCGGGGACGGGACGGCGCCTCTCTCTGCCCGGTTCCTTGTCCCCGCCGGTGTCGCGAAGCCGCGAGGTGTACGCGAGGGCCGGGTGGGCTACGGGACAAGCAGAACGGGAGGCAGGTCGCGTGTGCCTCCCCCAAAGTTTTCACGGTGCGGGACCAGGGGCGCGCGCTCTGGGCGGCCGCAGGTGGTGGCGCGGTGTGCCCGGGCCAGGTGCGCTGCCCGCGGGCGGCGCTGTAGCGCGGGACGGCCGGGCGGCCCGGGGCTCCGAGCCCGGTCGGAGCCGCGGGGGGCGGGGAGTGTGGCGAGAAATGGGGAACAATGAGAGTGAGCAACTTGAGGAAGTCATTGTGAAAGAAAGCTGGGAATTGCTCCGCGGCCAACTTAGCAGGGCACTCTAACAAGTGCCTGCGCGGCCGCGCCCGGGCTGGCAACAGCGGCAGCCCGGCGCAGTGCAGCCCATCCCGGGACACTCGGCCGTGGCAGGCGGAGACCGAGTAGGTCCCGCGGGGTACAGGAACCCCAGATCCCCGGCTGCTCTTCGCGCCCCAGGATCAGTCTTGGCCCCCAAAGCGCGGCATACAAATCCACGTGAGTGTTTTCAAATTAATTTCAGTAGGAAAACTTGGGATAACTGGTGGATTTTTTTCCTTTCTTTTTGTAATTAGAAGTAGGAAAGAAAGGAAAGTCAGTTGAAATCCTTAGTGTCCGTGTTGCTCACGTCTGTTTTTTTCCTTTCTGAGGACGGAGAGCTTTAACCAAAGCGACCCTCCGCCTCTCTAGGCTGGGACAAGCAGGTGCGCGACCAGGCCAGCCTGAGCCACTTCTGAGTAGCCTGGAGTCCCACGAAGAGCATGCCCTACTCCTGTTTAGGCTTATATAGACAGATCTAGTGAGATCACAGAAAAAAAAAAAAAGCATTTCCAAAGTCGTGGGTAAAGACTTTCCTTATTTTTGGTGCGAGGGCTATTTGCTTTCCTGGTAGAATCCAGTCTTAGTTTGCTTTGTGCAAAATGGAAATGATCCGGGTATTGAAACCGTACTTTGCTCATCACAGTATGTGATCCCAGGTCGTGGAGCTATGGCAGGGAGACCCTGTTATCAAATAGGCTTGCGATTTATTTGAAATGTGTGGGTTTTTTTTTTTAAATTGTGAAGCATCACTAGTAATTCCCAAGGAATCTTATAAGCCCTTGATTTCCTTCTAATTTGTAGGCTTCAGGATATGACATCTAGTGACCCAAAGAGGTACCAATTCAAAAGGTCTGAGCCAGAAGCCCTTTCAATTTTCCATTTTCTCTCGGATTGGAGCCCATCCAGAGTGAATTTTATCATGCCGTTTGCCCAAGTTACCCATGCGTAATTTCTCCCCCTGCTACAGATAACGTATTTTACCTTTGAGCTGCCTTGTCCTAAACTTCCAGAACCAAAGTGGTGTTAGGGAAATAGCGCTTCACTGGTCCAACATACCTGCAAAAGAAAATTTAAAACGACAAAAATGCATAAAATGTATAGTATTTTTCATAGACGCTGAAATGCTTTTAATGATTAGTTCCTTTGGGTTATGAGTGGAGAGGAGGTTGAAATCTGTAAGAAAATCCCAGAGCCTGCGTTAGTTTCTTTGTTTGGCGATATTTGTTCTATGAGATTAATTGAATTCATTCAATTTTTTTCTATGAGATTTTTAAAGTAAAATTTTAAGCATGATTCTTATTATGTTTGTATGTGTCCAAATGGTTTCAGTAACAAATCAGATTATTTGATATGTGACTCCAAATTTAAACGGGGACAAATATCCATGACAAAAGATTATCTCCTTACATTGGATCAGCACCCTGTAATACACAGAACATGTTGAGGACATAATATGGAGTACATCATGTAAACCACAATGGAGTATTTTATATTTTTATAAAAATGTGTATAATTTTATATTTTCCCACAAGCATGCATGCTTGTTCCTTTTCTCATAGAAGAAAAAAAAATGTGCTTCCCAGACTTAAAATTCACTAGAGCTGGTGACAAAAATGTTTTAAGTCTAATGGTTTTGATTTTTTGTTTATGGTGATAATTGAAATCTAGAGTTAAGAAATCCAAAGTACATGTTTGTATAATTCATTTGGTGTTTTTTAAGTGGAGGGGAAACCCCAAGTCCCCCCCCCAAAAAAAATTTAGGAGCATTGTAGCAATAATATCCCACCATGGTGGCCTCACAAGCAGACACTGGTTGCTAATAAAGAGTGGAAGAGGGATTTCTGACTCTTTTGAGAAGTTTGTGTACTGGGCCCTAAAGAGAAAGCAAATGGTGGTCGTTCTTGCGCATTTCCATTGTTGAAAAATTAAGATCACAGTGAATTTATTGGCCAAAAGATCCAAAGCCCAGCAGGTCCGTAGGCCCCTTGCATTTTCTACTTCACTGGAGACTGAGTGTAAGGATGGTGTTTCTTTGGTTTGAGGAAGCATTTTCCTTTATCTGAATTTGTGTTTCATCTTTCGTTAATATAACAGCACATTGTTCATGAGAATGTCAAAACTTCTGAAATCTGAGGGGATTAAACACATGTGTGTGTGTTTAATATAGATCAGGATTATTTATATTAATATATACAGGAAATAAATTACATGTGTTCGTATGTACTCCTGCTTGCACAAGCACACATCACACACATTGTCTGGAGTGACAGAGGCTTGAAGGTGGCAATGAAAGGAGTTTTAATATTAAATAAAAGCACCTAACATGAGAGATAAATTCCCTTCCTCTTATTTTTTTTTTACTTTTTTAAATATAAAATAAAATGGTTTCTTTATAATGGCAGATTTGGGCATAGATAATGTTAGTTTTATAATATTAGGTCGTTTTGAGTGCTTATCAAATTTTGCACATTCAAGTACTGCTACTGCCATCAGTAAGATTCCTCAAGGCGCGCGTGAGTAGCGGTATGCCCTCTCTGCTATTTGACGTTTCTAAACAATCTCTCTGTAAAATAAGTGGCACTTGTTGTGTTCAGAGGAGAATGACGGAAGCGAATTCGCCTCAGAAGGCAAGCCAGGAGCCTCCGAGTTCCTTGGGAACCGTTATTGCCTGTTTTTAAGACTGACAAATATTTTGGGACATTGCGGTTCCTCCTTTTAGCCGAAGCTCCTACTCTGACTAGAAACCTGAGAACAGGACTGTTCTCCTTTGCAACTCTCTCACGTTGCCTCGTTCCACAGGTTCGCTGTGTGAGCATTACATTTCACAGGAAAACACATGAAAAGCAAATGCAACAAGTGATGGCTCCTGAGGATACAGGGGGAGAGACAGAAATCCATTTCACGTCTTGAAAGAGATCTTGGTTCCTGCTCCAAAAAGACACATGTATTGTTTTTTAATCTTAGGTGTTGAGTATCAGAGAATTAGCATTAAACACACACACACACACACACACACACACACACACAATACAGATGATGAGCTATGGAGAAGCAAGGTCTGTTGGAGTCTTGTGCCAGCACTCTAATAAATCCATATGAACAGTAACAGAATTATTTCACCGTGCTGCTGATGCAATGCTCACACTCGTGTTCTTCGTATAAACCTCTGCTTCTTCACATCCCTCTCAGTCTAACAGTAGCACATGCCCTCGTACCTCAGGGTTCTTTGTCTCGTTGCTGGAGTATATATGCTCCTGCTCTTAGAATTCCAGTGCCTCCTTTTGGACCGTGTTTGTTTGGGATACCCTTTAGCTGCTAAGTGATAATGGAACAGTTACTTTTAAGACATGGGTAAGCATTTTTGCATACTGTACTGCATGTCACAAGTGAACTATACCAGCCAACCAAACATGATTTGCAAAAACTTTCTAAGGGGAGAAATGGATGTCTGCCCTGGTTTGGGGTATCCCACTGGTTCTTCATGAGAAAGTCCCAAAGGGACACAGCTGCCCTGGGGCATAATCTAAAGACAACTGGCAAATTATTTTCTTTGGCATTTCCCCATTTTCATGTCTGACTGTGATAAATAAGTGGATGCCAGTGTGTCTTCCACCCATGGTGATAAACTGCTTTAAAAAAATATATATATTGAAAAGCCCAAGTCTCAAGCATGTAGGCCATTGAGCTTCTCCTTCACAGGCCTGGCCCAGCTACTTTTCTCCCATGGCCATGTCTTGCTAGGGGGGAAGTCACAATTCCCGTTGACTAAAGAACACCCCCTTTCCACCCCATGTCTGACAAATCAGACATCCGAATGATTTCTGAACTCACTTTGGTTAGGACAGGAAGCATTGGCTCCCTTCCTGTGTGAGCTTCCCTGAGAGAAAACCAGCTTCCCTCCTCCTTTGCATACTTGGCTGCTGGTTCCACCTTTCTCTGAGCCCCAGTGGTGAGTGGAGGCAGCAGTGGGACCTTGGAGGAAGAGGGATCTGAGGCTCAGCCCTGGACCAGGATCCTTCCCGGGTGTCTCCTCAGAGGGCACTCAGACCAAGTCTGGATTTGTGTGGGAGAGAGAGACTGCTCTTATTTGGCCTTGGGGAGGCCCAAGCTTTTTGGTGAGTGTCACATGGGTTTGTTGTCTCGATGTGCTTGCTTGGCTTGCCCTAGCCAGTGCTCTTCCCATTTCCCGCTGGGATTTTTGGTGAGCAGGCTTCACAGGGAGCCTCCCTGGCACTCCTGCCCAGCTCCCTGTCTTGGGCTGATGGAAAACATCATTAGACTCCATCTGTGTGTTTGCTCTCAAGTTCGCCCCATGCTCCACCTCCTGACAGCTTGTGGCATGGGGCCACGGCTTAACGAATTGCCTAAAGTGGGACCTAATTAGAGCAAAAGAGCTTCTCCGTATTTTCTCAACCGAGTGTGCAGTGAGACGTTTTTCTTCAGAAAGCAGCTCACCGCTGCAGCAAATCTGACACTTGCCGCCATTTTCAAAATAGAAGTTTCAGATGGATGGCTGAAGAGCTAGGGGTAAAGGACTCCTGAGTCTGAAGAGAAGCCTGGCCCTGTCCCAATCCAGTCTGATTTCCTTTCTGTCCCACACTCCCTTCTCCTTCTCATTCTTTCTTTTTATTTTTCTCTCATATGTGGTATTTTGGCTAAACTATTGAAACAGTTACAAAAGAGTGTTCTTCAAAGTCTTCCTATGCATCAAGTAGATTTGTGTGTCTGTATGTGTGTTGCATTTTTTTAGATTCTACACTGATTCTACACTTTGTGACATTTTTCTGTGATGCTTAAACTGTTCGAAAATGAACTGTGTGGTTTAGAATGAACTTTTGCCAAAGCTAGGCACTCCGCGAGTACCAACTACGCACGTTTTAATCATTTTCTGTTGATCGTTTTTCGGTGGTAAATTTGGAGCAAGTTGAATTCCATAAGACAATTCCTTCAACCTAATGGGAAAAAAAATGTTTAATTTAGCAACTTTAAGAGACATGAGGAGCTGACCTTTTATAAGCTTACCTGTGGCACTCTGCAATGTGTCCCAGTGCTTTTAATGGAAACTAGAGGAAGCCATCATCGACCCCCTAGTGTGAGCCCCACTTTCAGTCTGAAAAAAAAAGTAACCTTACTTTTCTCCCTTGTGTATGAGGAGTTTTGTGTAGAGTAGAAATTTA